ACTTTGTACAATTTAGTGCAATGTATTACTGTGTTAGTGCTCTGTTTTAAAGTCAATTTAGTGTACTTTTCGGTGCTTTGTTTCAATGAATATGTAGTGTAACTCAAAATTTAGTGCCCTGTTTTAAAGAATAATTACTACAATTTTAATATATTTATATTGTGCTTTTGAATATTATTTACACAAAATGTGCCATGAAATTATTAAATAAAATATTGTAATAGAAACTATTCTTTTTCTTTATTTTTCACTAGATTTACCTGGATTTACCTTGGTTCATAAGTGTTGTTACAACATAATCCTACATAATCCCATTGTTTAACTCAAAGTTCTGGGAACTCCAACATAAAAATTTACTATTTTACCTATAAAATTCAAAATGTAGGAATAGCCAGAATAAACCGTGCTAAATATGTATAATCAATAAAGGCAACAGTAGTATACCGCTGTTCGAAACTCATAAACCGATAGAGATAAAAACAAATCCGGGTTACAAACTAAAACTGAGGGAAACGCATCAAATATAAGAGGAGAACAACGACACAACAGAAACACAACATTAAAATGTAACACACACAGAAACGAACTATAATATAACAATGGCAATTTTCCTGACTTGGTACAGGACATTTTAAGAAAAAAATGGTGGGTTGAACCTGGTTTTGTGGCATGCCAAACCTCCCGCTTTTATGGCAACGTCAAACACAACACCAAAACGACAACATCACATGACAGGACCACAATACAAATAAATGGGAGAACATATAGGACAAAGAAACACACGAATAATAGCTAGCAGAAGGTACTAGGCTTAAAATTCAATACGCCAGACGTGCTTCTCGTCCACACAAGACCAACCAGTGACGCTCAGATAAAAAAGTTTAAAAGCCAAAACAAGTACAAAGCTGAAGAGCACCGAGGACCAAAACTTCCAAAATGTTGCGCCTAACACGGACAGGATTTTCTGCCTGGGACAAGAAAATCCTTATTATTTAGAATAATTTATAATTTTGCAAACAGTAAATTTTATAAAATGACTATATAATAGAAATACATGATAAAACCAAAGTGCGGATACATTACATAAAACAACTTAATCCAACATATAAAAATACACAGCCGAGTTAGCTAAAGCCTCAACGCACAAAGTGACGTCACATTTGAAATTCTAAAAAAACACACAAAGTGACGTCACATATGAATTTGTAAAAATATTTCCCAAAAATAAGATAGGACCAGGATTGACCCAAGACCAGATCTGCAATACTGCCATTACATTTATTAATAACGATGAAAATTACAATACTTATTAATATCAAATTGTGGTAGTAATTAGATAACTAATTGTATCATCCAGCTATGTCGGTGTTTCCTCCGAATCAAACCGTAAACCAAATATATCGTATAAATTTCGTTGAACCAAACTAAAATCTAATAAATGAAGGGGGTGATTAATTATCTATACCATAACACACGAATATAACAGAAAATACGTTAAGACATTTGACAAAATCCGACGAGAACAACAAATATAACATCAAAATTAGATACATGAATTTGGGATAGAAAGGTACCGTGACACGTCTTATAGCAATGTGGTTTCACACTCAGCAAAACAGTCACAATCGGGAATAAGTCACGTTCGGTAATTAAAAGATCAGACGACGTAATGACAAACCACAATCTAACACGTGGTAAAAATGTCCTTAGTTAGTTTTGACAAAGACACATCGTATGGATCAACCAATTGGTGATGGTGTCCGTAAAATTTACGGAGTGTCATCTTTAATCTGTCCTCCTCATAACTTTGTTGGAGCAGTTTCTGCGTAAGGAGCACACTCCTGTATATGAAGTCTGTATAGTGTGAACAAGCACGAGAATAACGTAACAATTGAGATATGTAAACACCATACGAAGGGGCAGAGGGTATGTTACTGCTGAGAAATGGGAAATTGATAATTGGGAAGTTGAAATCGTCCCGTTTATCATAGATTTTCGTGTGAAGTCGTCCATCTGTGTCAATATAGAGGAAAAGATCAAGGTCTGAAGCAGTCCTACTAGTATCAGTAGTATCCTTTATTTCAAGTTCACTGGGATATATGAGATGTAAGTATTGGCTGAAATATGGGTTATTCAATGATATAACATCATCAATATATCGGAAAGTAAAATTAAAGAATTTCGCAAGGTGCTTTTTTTTTTTTGTCTTTTAAAAGGTTCTGAATGAATTCAAATGTTTTGTTCTTATTTACAAAGATTAAAAGGTCAAATCATTTTGCTTTTGTTTTATTTCTCTTCCGATAAAGTTATTTGCGTGAATGGCTTTGATGTGCATCAACTATTTAGTTAGAATGTTGTCAGCTTTTAAAATGTTTATGTATTAAAGAATTATCAAGACAAAAGGAATTAAAATGTCGACAATAAAAAAAAAAGATATTCTATGCCAAAAATAGATATAAGAAGTTGTGGTATGAGTATTAATGAGTCAGCAAGACTATCCGAATTATAAATCATAGCCTCCGTACTTGTATGATAATTTGATCCGAAATTTAGCTTGTCAGATTAAAAACAAACAACGCTTTGGTTTACATGTGTAGGACTACTGTTGAAAAGTAGCATTGGTACCCTGCTGTGACTAGATTGTATTTGCGATACACATGCGTTAATATAACATAATGGGGTTGAGTAAGTGCCCCCATCTTCGCTAGCCTGTGAAGTGGAGGGGACTGGATTGTAACTCTTGCTTAAATAAATAAATAGATAAATAAATAAATCTCAATTTATTTCAACAAATTGCTGTTGAAGGCATTTAGAAAAACTTCCGAACTGTGCATATGTTTGCAAAATTTTGTATCACGGGCTAAGTGCAGTTTTAGAAGCTTAATTCACTTAGGCGGCCTTGGTAGCGTTTAGATACACAACTGTGTGATGTAAATCATTGTTAAGAAATATATTGTAAAATACAAGCTCAGAAAATAGAAATTGTCCAAGTTTTAAAAAGTAACCCGCACGAAAGTAACAACTTTACAAAATGCTCTAAAGTAAATTTTTAGTTTACGAGAAAAGTATCAACAGATAACGAATTGTAGCACCTGACATAAAACATACTTAATATGTACTAATTAAATTGCTAACGTTCACTTCACTTGAAAAATGGCGGATAGTTCTCTCATTGGCAATCATACCACATCTCCTTAAATTTATATTGTTAAGTTTAAAATTTCCAGTGCAGTAAGTTTTTTCAAAGACAAACATCAATTACCGTACACATTTTATTTGGGATAACGACTACATGTTTTACCTGCCGGGTTAACAACATGTTAGGGTTAAGTGTATAACAAAAATGTTATTTAAGTAACGATGTAACGAATGCATACAAAAAAAATCTCCCCAATACACGCAATTTCCGTCTATTTCAAATCTGTTTTAATACGGTAACTTCTGAGGGTAACTTTTATAACCCTTAGTAAATATACATGTATACATTCTAAATCTTAAAATACAGGTTTCAGCAAATAATGGTAAACTTCTATTCGCCTATATACAATTGATAAATAAGTAAATATATGCATTAGTTAGAAAAATAAAACCAACGACATTTATAGACAAATAATTTTTCAATTCCTCAACAAAACAACAACAGAAATAAATAATCAACAGATGATTTTCTTTTTTATTTATTCGAATTCTAGCAAATATTTCTCAATTTAAAATGTATCATCAATCAGAAGGGGCGGAACTCGTAGTATCATATGAGCATACTGAACGGATCTAAACACGGTCTGACAAATTTGAAAGTAATTTTTTAGGTTTGGTCTGATTTCGTCTGAAACCGTCTTAACATATCTTAAACGGATGCAAGAACAATCTGTCTTGTTTATCTTGACATGACTGAACGGACTTAACACGGTATATCGTGACAGCGTAAATCCAGTCGATTAAGACTTGATCAGACCAAAATGACTGTTTCAGACTTAAATATTGCTACTAGTGATATGAGTCTTAGAGTCATCAGCAAGGTAAATAATTGCATATTTTTGTAAACGCATATTAATAAATAACACTCCGATGTATCTATCTTTAACGTTGTGGGGTATAAATTAATACATTTTGTGTGGATATTTGTAATATTTTAATACGAAACAAAAAACTATCATTGAAAATTTATAAAACAAACGCGTTCCTTTATTTTACTAACATACGTCATACGCAAAATACCTAATAGTAAGGACAAAATCAGGGACGTTTCAGTATTTAAGTTTACTTTGTTAGCAATAATAATGCAAGTACAAATAAATTTTTGCGGGAAACTTGGTTATTTATTGATGAGGGCTCAATCAATGAGATTAAACAATTACCTGTGATAAAATTAGATATAATGCGCATTTCAACAATTAAAGTCCCTAAGGTCACAATATTGAAATATCCTAAAGCGAATACAGACATTGACGAACTTATACAATCGAAAAAGGCACATATAAAGCCAAACCCTGTCAGCATATTAGAGCTATGAATGAGTAAGATGTATTCCTTAATTCAAAAATTGTTTAAACAGCGAATTCCAATTAAACAATGTTCGCATATTTTCATGTCAGAAGCAAAGAACCCAACTGTATTAATAAAATTAGGTTAACGGTACTGGTTACACTACACAAAATGCTCATTTTGACAATTGTTACCTCGTCATTAGTGATCGAGGACAAAATATCTCAAACTCAAACACCTAATACAAACGATAAAAGCTGATTTCCTAAGAATTTCAAAAAAAAAAACAATATACGTAAAAGATTGCCAGTATCGACGTACGGAGCGACATTGCTGGAGATATCCGTTAAGGAAAAGACACGATACTATTTTTTTTTGTTCTGAATTAATACATTATTTATGATTAGGTTACATACGATAAATTTAATGTTTCTGATATTAACAATGACCGTTATTTGAGTTTGTTTAATTTCAGACTACCTAGATAAAAACAAAATATATGTTTACTTCAATAGGTTAGTACAGTGATAACCAAAACAAGACAATACATACATGTTTAATGGATTCCAATGATGACATCAAAAATGGCCTTTGGGAAAAACTACAAGAGTTGCGGGAAAACAAAACTTCGGAGTTGAGAGGCCGGCATTACCTTGGACGAGTACCAGAACCCCCTAAACTTGTTTTATCTGTCATCGGTGATTCTAGTAGCTTTGTGCCTGAACCATGGTTTACATCAGTTTTAAAAGCAGGGCTTATCGAGACAGCAAAGGGTGCAAAAGGTATGGCACGAATGTTAATATGTATTATAAAAAGTAGAATCACTAAAATACCGAACTCCGAGGAAAATTCAATCGGAAAGTCCCTAATCACATGGCAAAATCAAATGACAAAACACATCAAACGTTTTGATTAATTGATTGAGATTCTACTTCATCCTCTTGTAAGTCATCCATACGGGTATTACAATGTTTGGATCAATCCAACATTTTCGGACCCTGTGATAAATGATTTTCTCTAATTCTTATCCAATTTATACCTCTCTTGACCTGTTAATTGATGTTTATAGTCAACGTGTGGTTCGGTTGATCTCAGTTTTTCATTGGTCAAAATTATAACATGACTCCAAAATGCCTTGCTTTCCTCTGTCAGAATCTCCTAGTGTGGCGTTATGAAAAAAGCGACCATGCTTGATGACGTCAAATATAAAGAGCACGTCTTCCTGCAAATCATCGAAACAGAGATATAAAGTTTGTCTGTATATAGTATAAAATCAGTTAAGAAACAGATTCCGCAAAAAAAAACTCGTGATATTTCTCCTTTCTAGAAGTTAAATCTTAAATGTTTAAATAGCTTGGCAAAACTCGGATTTGTAATGGGAATATTTTAGTGTCTCGAGTGGAGAAATACCGTATCACAATTCATGCGTTGGAAGAATCTACACATACATATCCATATGTATATATATCAGTTAAAAGCTTCGATGAGATGAGTTTTTTTGCTATGTGTTGAAGGCCTCGTTGTGACGTTCAGATGAAGAACAGCTATAAAAGCGCTATTTCTTCGTTTTGTGTGGTTTTTAATGTGCATATACTGATTTTGTGTCATTGGTGGATACCCCATATCCTTTCTTTTCTGTTCCCTTATTACATTGATTGAAACAAAATAGTGTGATTTCCAGTATAATAGAAACCGATAATTTCACAGGAGGAATCAATTTTGATCATTTCATTCCTCTAATGTCATTGAGCATTCAGGTTGTCAAAACATTGTTAATGGCGTTGTATAAAGAATAGTATTCGAAGAATAAGACATATAGTTCTTTGCATTTTCTACTTTATTTTCAAAATTTAAAATAGCATGCTTAAAGTAATAAAAAAAATAAATCATTCAAGAATTCATATATAAAATGATCTTCAGATCATGATCAAACAACAATTGTAGTTAACCCTTGAAATCCTATGTTGTTACTATTCGTTAGATAACTTGTTTTATATTTTAATTATTCGATCATTTATTCTTTAAGTAATGTGAACAGTCTTGGCCATGATGCATACTAGGGTCGATCGAAATATATGTATATCGGTGTACATTGCATACAGTGATATCTTTGGAAAGATCTATGTAATTTCTTAGGGTTTGTTTTAGATTCGCAAGATCTCGATAAGATATTTTTTCAATATTATTAAACATTTAACACTAACTTACTTAAGTAGTCAGCATAAATTGGAAATATTATAGACAATGAAAATAATTCTTTTAACTTTCATGTATTCGCTTTTTTTGATAAACCTTTATCAAGAACGGGCAAATCCTAATATTTTAAAGCCGGAATTACAGTTGTTTTTGTTACAAACTAAAAACCCTTGTAACTATATATTTTCGGAATTAGTACACAGTCAGTAATACAATGATACCGAAAAAGAGTTTCTTTGAACCAAAATTAGCATTATCTCACCTTATTTAACAAAAACTTAACTACCAATCCGACATTTTTTTCCCACTTAGAATAACGTTATCTATCTTATAACATCAGAAGTTACACTGTACAACTGGAGAAATGAAACTAAGACGCACATTTCACTCAAAATTACATTTAAATTAGAAAATTCAATATTGAAATCAGTGTATAGTAAGATGTCATTTGCTTACCCTTCCGGTGCACCTGAGATCCCCTACCCCAGTTTTTGATGGGGTTAGTGTTGCTAAGTCTTTTGTTTTCTATGTTGTGCTTTGTGTGCTGTTGTTTGTCTGTTGGTATTTTTCTTTATTAGCCATGGCGTTGTCAGTTTACTTTCGACTGATGAGTTTGAATGTCCCTTTGGTATCTTTCACCTCTCTTTTGACACCGAATGTGGAATTGAATAAACCGGCAAAATGTCCCTTTTTTATAGAAAAGAATAACAGACTACATATGTTTTGAGTATGTGTTATACAAGCATTTTTATTACAACAGGAACGATTTCAAACAAATAAGTTTATAGTTTGTTGTTTAATTTGAATGGTGGAGGTTTTTGAGCTCCGATAAAATATTTGATAAGTCTATCGTTATATAATCTTAGATAAATGAACGTTTTGAATATTTGTATGCGTGTATGACTTTGCTTAATGTCTCCAGTATTTTATAAACATTTTGAGGCATCATATAGTATACGTTTGATTGAAAGGGAAGTAAAGAAACAACACCATCAGCACTTTTTGATACCTTTGATTTGATTGGGATACCATATACAAAAAAAAGAAACTTTAAAAACAAATAAATTTATATAAGAGCGTGTTGAATCCAATTACCTGATTAAAAATGTCATATGGTTGCCTTAAGTGGCTAAAATCTTAAAGAGAGGTTAGTAGAATATGAATAAAAGAACAGAGTTTCAATGTCCCCCGCGTCGCACATATTCTATCTGTTTTGTCGAAGGGAAATAACTAAAAAAAAAAATTTTGTTCTTTAATAAAACATTTTTTAAATATCTCACTAGAGAGTTGAAGACTTGAGAGCAATTTCCGACATATTTAAAATTTCCAAGGGGAACTCATTTAAAATATGTGATGGTCACTTATTTTCGTAATTGTCCGAGACATCGCTATTATATACCTTTGATATGGATTTGAAAAAAAACCTGGCTAAAATTGTACATGTGAGAAGACTTACAATGCAAATTTCCATATAATTTATATTTTTAAGGGGTATAACTCTTTAAAAAATTGGTAATCGGCACTGATTTTCGATCTCGTCCGAGACATTGCTGATATAAACCTGCATTATAATTTTCATAAAAATCTAGCAAGAATTGTACACATGACAGCGCTAGCGATGCAATTTTCCATAAAATTAATGTTCCCAACGTGCATAACTCTTTTAAAAATAGTTGATTGGCACTGAATTTCTAACTCGTCTGATACATTATTGATATAAATCTATGATATAAGTTTTATAAAATTCTGGCAAGAATTGTACATGTGAGAGTGCTAACAAAACCGGACGAACGGACGGACGGACTGACGGACAGACGGACGGACAGACGGACGCCCGGTATTTCTTTGTCTCCCGCAACGCGTTGCGCGGGGGACAATTAACTATTACAAATCAGAGCGTACAATTGTTGTCCTTGTGAAAATGACTGCAATGTAGCTACATAGATGCGTAAAAGAGAGGTGAAAGATACCAAAGGGACATTCAAACTCATATGTCGAAAAACAAACTGACAATGCCATGGCAAAAAACTAAAAACGACGAAAAGGCAAACATCAGTACTCAAAACACAACATCGAAAACCAAGATTGAGAAAAACGAACCCGACCAAAAACCGGGGATGATCTCTTAAGTATGACAATGTCATACCTAATTAAATAAAACAGGGATAAACTCGAGGGAACACACATTCAAAATACTAGCACTCAAGATATAAACAAATCATTAACTGTGTTTCGACAATTCCTACCAAAATACATCTAGAAGATACGATGTCCTTATGACAATTGTCTTACAAAATATTAACATTTCAAACAAAGAAATAAAAAGTAAAATAATAAAAATAACTCCAAGGAAAATTCAAAACGGAAAGTCTTTTATCAAATAGCAAAATCAAAATCTCAAAACACATCAAACGAAAGGGAATCAACTTTCATATTCCAGACTTGGTAAATGCATTTTCGTATTTAGAAAATGGTGGATAAAACCTGGTTTTATAGCTAGCTAAACCTCTCACTTGTATGACAGTCGCATTGAATTCCATTATACATGTTTTTTCAAGCAAACAAAAAAACCCTTCGTATGTTTGACCAGATCAAAGAAAAAGATGCTATAAAAGTGTATAAATTAGCATTTTATAAGAAATTGTCACAATGATCCGTAAAGTTCCTTCTGTAAAAATAAATCGGCAAAGTCAGAAATTACTGATTTGACAATATACAGTATGAAATGTAAAAGCCTATGGTAATTTTACAGGGGAAATTATCCTGAGACATCTAAAAACAGATTTACGTAATGTCAGGGAATTCAAACTATTTGAAAATATAATTGGTTTCTCGATAATTTATTCAATGCCTCTATCGGTTGTGCCTCGCTAATAAAAAAGACCACTGTTTGGATGTTTCGTTTCAAAACCTTTGTGTGAAAAGCAATGATTCAATATAGGTTATTTAAATATCAGCTGAGGTACTTATAACAGGTAAAAATAAACAAGACAGTGATTAGATGGGTGAACATACAGGCCAATCGGTATATAAAGCAAAACAAGCGTTTTTTAATGTAGATATGGAACTTTATTTTCCAATTAGGGAACAATAACAAAATTAACAAATTAAATGAAACAGCTACTTAAGGTAGATTGAGTGTCTACCGCCATCTTTGATCGCAATTCAGCAGAAGACATTTGGTCTAGATATTCTATAAGATATGCAAATTCTGATAAAAGAATGTAATTTATTTGTGAGAATTTTAATTGAAATGAAGAGAAGTATGCCATGTACATGTTTGAACATATTTCTTCGACAGTATTATTAAAAATACAGGGTATTTTTTGATTGCTTATATTTTTTCAATTTTACCATATAAGGGGCGATAAAACAGATAAATTGAACTTTATAAAGGGATTTTTTTCTGAACTGACCTGTTTTATTTTGAAGCAAGAAAACGAGTCCCATGACCACAATAAATATTTTTATTTTTCGAAAACACATTAAAACAGTAACTTCTCCTTATCGATTAAAACATTCTATCGTTTGTGTTCTTTCTATCACGCAAAATTAAATTTTCCTTGTATACAGTATACAAAATCTGACAATTTTGCACAACCTGTTGCTTGAAAAAAAAACCGTGACCCATACTTTTTTTATTTTAAAAGCCAGATACAAAAAAAACATTTTGTTAAATTATTAAAAAATTCTATTGATGTTTATTTTGACTCCCAGTCTACCTTAAGTGATGAAATCTTTGAATTGAAACGTTGAAAGATGTTTTGAACTACACCGAACTAGAATTCAGTTTCTTAAAAAATGGAACAGTAATAAAAAGTAAGATCGCAAAAATACTGAACTCCGAGGAAAATTCAAAAAAGAAAGTCTCTAATCAAATGGCAAAATCAAAAGCTCAAACACATCAAACGAATGGATAACAACTGTCATATTCCTGACTTGGTACAGGCATTTTATTATGTAGAAAATGGTGGATTAAACCTGGTTTTAAAGCTAGCTAAACCTCTCACTTGTATGACTTTATATTGACAACGATGTGTGAACAAAACAAACACTATAGGTAAAAATGTCACAAATAGGGGTACAACAGCAACACGAGCCCCACCAAAAACTTGGGGTGATCTCATGCGCTTTATGAACCAAAAACATGAACGTGGAGTTAATGGTTCAAGAGGCTCAGTCATTTCGAGTTAAAATATGTGTATTTCTTCATCTCAGATTGTAGTCAATCATCTCCTACCCTCGTCCAGGCGACAGCAAATGCAAACTTTTTTTCCATTATTAACACTTATGTCGTGAAACATAGAATTAGATTGTTAAGTAACAAACACAAACTCACTGTGGTATCTGTTACTTTTACTCTTTAGAAACGATAATCATCGTTAAGTTTGTGTCCTATTCCCCATTCGATATAGTTGATTCGCACTGTGGTTGATGCATACATGGAGTTCGGTATTTTTGTTATTTTACTTTATACATAGCAGGCGATGCTATTCTTGTCGACGCACCTAGTATCGCCTCTTTTGGAGTTCATGCGATTCCCTCAATTTTTGTGTGTTACCTTCTTTTGTTTTATAAATCGATTTATGACATTTAAACATTAGGAAAGTATTGTTTCCTTCAATTACTTAACTGTTACACTCAAATGTGTTATAAATATATTAATTTATCCGGAATAGTAGTTTGTTTCCATAATAATAATTGGTTATTTCCCTATAATAAAATGTAAAATTAGGATGTACCATATACTTGTCACTAATAAAACGATTCACAACTTTAGAAATCAATAGCAATTTTAACAATACAAATATATCATAATGAATAGTATAATATGAATAGAATTATCACCATCAAAATGATACACACAATAAAATATGTAAATTCTGAAAGTCTACAACTTCTCCTTAAAAACCTTAATAACAAAAACAAAAACAAAAAGCAAAACAAAACGGACGCATGGAAGATCGAAAACACGAAATGACATTGAAATTATGAATTTTACTTATATGAAAACCTTGATAGCACTTATTTCTATTTTAGACTGCTTGATTATATACAAAGGCTCATCCGAAAAAGTTAGTACTATCGTTCGTGAAGCAGTGGTTAATTTCGAAAAGCTGTCAACAGAGGGTGATGACGATTTTATTTGTCTGGTAGGACTTTTGCCAAAGATTGATGTAAATATTAAAGATGAGCATTATCATCTTGATCGTCAGGATACCCATCAATATGGGAGAGTACGTATGTTAAAGGGGTTGTTTCGTGGCTAATTAAAGGAAAATATTTTGCTTGGTTGTGCTAAGTGTTTCTGGTCTGATTTATCATATAAATAATATCCAGATTATGTACAACATATATTTTTTTTTCATCCCTTTTGAATTATCTGAAAATTAAAAACAGTATTCGATTCTAATCGGCAAACTTCATTTCTTTATCAAATCTTTTTACTTTTTCGTGGAAAGACCTTTTAATTTAGCTCTGATTATTTCAATTATGACATTTGTTTTTATGCTGCAACACTTCTTTCTGGCATGTTATTTTTGGTTTAGCAATACATCGATAAGATATTTTGTATATGATATCAAACAGTTATTGAGCTTTTAAAACTGACCTTGTTGAAACGTATATTTTTCCATGAAAGAGCTACCTTAATAAAGATTGTTTTTGGTGATAAGTTCGTCATCGCAACTGTAAAATAACTCATCATAGATACCAAGATTACAATTTCGATTAAAAAGGAATCATAAGTTACACCCGAATCAAAAAAGTTAAAAATGCAAAATAATGTACGAAGGTTATCGACAAATATATTTTCCAAAATTGGTCGTTAATTCCTCAGGATGTAAAAAAATAATGTTGTCCGAAAGATCCGGAGACTCCATATGCGTGTTATTTCCCTTTCTGTATTTGACATAAGTGAAATGTAATTGTAACTCATAAACCGTAAGTTTTAATGTGATATCCTTGTTTGATTAATTTGACATTAACTGGTGTAAATAATTATGAAACAAAATTGAGGTCGGTGGTGTTATTTATTTCCTTATCTTATTGGTGATCATTTCTGCTGTTCACAGGTTAAAAGTTTCATGGTAGTATAGGAACTATTTAATTGGTCTAAACCGAACTTTAAAGCAAAATGCCTATAAGAGATTACAGTTATTTGAGTCGTATAATCTTGTTCCGTTTTTTTTTTGGGGGGGGGGGGGGGGGGGTTTATTAACAATTACTATCTATTTAGTTTTAAGTTTTTGTAAATCTTGCACCTCTTCCCTTTTTTACTAACCTTATGGTCTCTGTCTTATGTCGATTATAGACTTGAAATTAAATTGATTAAAAATCGTCACCTAAGAGAAATTATTCATATATGGAAGTTTGTAATTAAAGGTACTTATAATTCAAGCTTTTTGTAGATCTGTGATTGCTGTTTTGCCCTGTTACAGTATCTGTCTATCTAGAAAACTACACTTGTCATGTACTATGTCAATTTCGTTTTATCTTCTTGGACATAAAAGCAAATGGATAAAGATTAAAATGTTCATTTAAATAACGAACCTTTTTAAATTATGATAATAGTTTTTGTAATATATTCACATGATTAAGATAAATTAATTTGTGATAACAATAATGCAAATTCATATCACCTAAGAATAAGTTTAATCCTGTCTTAGCAGTGACAATGAGCGTGCTTTATCAATGAAGACGATAAATTACGGTTGCAAACGTTATTTATTGTTTGTCCTTTCGTGAGTGGAACTTACAAGTTGTTCGTATCTAACATCACTCTTTACACGACATTTCTTCTCCAAATGTCGTTCCGATTCCATTTAAAGCAAATCAAATTGTTTATAAATATCCTTTCAATTTATCAAATTACTTCCATAAAGGAAGAACATCATCTATTACTGCAAAACTTTTTATTAAAGGATTAGTTCAATGGCTTTGTTTCATATTTATTTATTTTTCCTTCATTTTGAAACAATTCGAAGATTTTAAAAGAAAAGTGTAGATTTTGTGCTATTCAGATGTTAATTTTCTGGTTGCAAACCCAAAAAGCATCTTCATGAAAAAAGGTGTCAGTAACAGCACTTTCCTTCTTTGTTATATGTGTTAATGAATGATGAATGATAATTTTCATACTTATGAAACAGTTAATTTATTTTTGGTAAACAGAAAACGATATACATTACTATTCATATACATCTGTTTTAATATATAAAACAATCATTTTTTTAAAGGAACACTGGAAAATGAGCAACCGTGTTTTGGGGGAAATATTCAACATTCAGATGAAAGAAGACCTTTACCCCAAAGCACATGCGTCTACCCTGAAAGCCATCAGCAAAAATAAAACATCATTTATGAAACTGCAGGATAATTTCTGTAAGCAAATTAGTCGTATCATTGTTTTCAATATAATGGAATTAAATGCAACTGTCATACAAGTGACAGGTTTAGCTAGCTATAAAACTAAGTTTAATCAACCATGTTCTACATAAGGAAATGTCTATATCGAGTCAGAAATATGAGACTTGTTTTCCGTTCGTTTGATGTGTTTGAGCCTTTGTTTTTGTCATTTGATAAAAGACTTTATGTTTGAAATTTTTCTTGGAGTTCGGTATTTTTGTTATTTTACCACTCAAGATAAGAACCGACAGTATATTTTTGATACTGTAATTGAACTCCAAACAAAGCGAGACTCGGTCCTCGACAGGGAGGGTCTCCAGTTTTGTACGCATCTCTTACCATCCTGATTCGTCAAAATGTAACGTTAGGGAAAACGTTAATATTAGATGTTTAATATCACATAATACAGAATTGAATTTTTGGATCTCAAACCCCCTTGAATGGATGTAAATTTTTACGAACTATCTTTTGCTTATCATGTAACGTGTCATATTTCATAATCCTGTTTAGCATGAACATGAAGCACACTGTAATCATGTTTTTGAATAAAAAAAAATTTGATGAATGCTAAAAAAGATTTACAAATAATAACAGGAAAATAATTTCCAGTTGATAAAACCTAGACCGATTGAATCAAACATGGAATTTAAGTGGATATCTGACATTATACACCTGTCCCATACAATAGTTATAAAAAGGAATATTAAAAATCGTGACAATAACCTATAACGACTAGTAAAAACCATCCAAATATACCACGCTTATAATTTGGTACGCCAGACTCGCGTTTCGTCTACTTTAGACTAACCAGCGGCCCTAGAGTTGTTATGATTATAGGAATGTCCGGCTGATGGAATTACTCCGAGTGTATCAACAGCTTATTTGTCAGCGCTTTTGTCCAGGCAGGTATCATAGTTCATGTGTCATTTATTTTTTTTACTATGGTCTTGATGGCAGATCTTTGCTATTTCTTTTGATTTCATACACGTTTGCATTACTTTTTTGAATTAAAACAAAAGCTTGACAAACAATAAAGAAGATATGTACTGATGAAGACCATATGTTAACATATATATGTCTTTAACTTGTGTTTTTTGTTTTTGTATTATCGCGTCAGTAACAATTTCTTCTCACCTTCTTTTATTCATACCAAAAAGCTATAGCTAATTACATGAAATTCATTCTTCAAACAAAAAGAATGCAGTGCTAAATGTACAAGATATGTTCTGGTTATATTCTTCATAGCAAATTTGACTTAACAATTATGTTGTAGTGACCTGTTTAGTGCCTGTCCTGACAATAGTGGCAGAAGGAGACTTTGACACCATCGAATCTGTACTTCAAGTTTTGAAGCAGAACCTTCCTGTTCTTATCCTTAAAGGATCTGGAAAAGCAGCAGATTTCATTGCTGATTTTATTTGGGAGTGAGTGAATTAACACTGTTTTTATGAAATTTTTTATAAAGTCTTAAACATAGGTGGAGTGAAAACGCAAATCATGGAAATGTCATGAAATAATCTTTCGTAACGCTTTACAGATCTGTGAAAGTTGACAATATTGAGAATAACTATGAAATAATGAAATATGAGATTTGATTGCAAACAGTATTAAAGATACAAATGAGACAACTATCTGCAAGCATCCACATAATGTAGATATGGGCACTCCTTCTAACGGAGAACAGTTGTATAACATCACAATACATTAAAAAAAAAACTGTTTAATAATTTAAAATATTGGACACATCATATTGGCACGAAATACAAACCAAACAACTGACATAAACGTACAAAGAACCGATCTTAGAGTACTAGCTGTTCAAAGCCAAATACAACTAGTAAAATTAAACACTTCCTCCAATACCAAAGAATCGACCAGTACACAGTCAATGCATTTAGTGTTAAGAAGTCATGAACAGTCTGATAAAAGCGTTCAAAACGAAAGTACATGGTATCGGCAGGAAGTAGGACCATAAGTTTGTATAACTGTATAGCAGTACATTTTTAGTTATGTTTAAAAAATTAATTTTGTAGTGCCAATAAACTCAATATTGAAAGATCTAGCTACCGTGTTGAATTGACAATCTTTAAGAATAAATTTATTCAAAGGATACTATGTAAACAAAAAATTGATAGCAAGCTCGTATACTGTTATCTTTTTTTTTGTGAACACATTTAATGAAGTATACTGTCGGATCCAAATACACAAAACATTTAAGATCATATTCATAATAAAATGCATCAACTAAATAAAATGTAACAGAAGTTTTACCAAATGATGAACCGAACTGCATGTTCGATTTCACATGCAGACCCTAGATACCTGTTTTAAATCGAAACATAAATATAGAGACATAAGTATTGAAATGAGGATACAGTGTTTCTTAAGTAAGATTAGATGTTTACAACAAAATAATTCCATTTCAACAACTACGACTCTCAAAATACAAATGAGCTTTTTTGTTTCTTTCTCACCATTTTGGTTGCAGATTGTAATTAAACGTGTATCTCCGTTATGTGTTTATAAGTTGAATATGTCAAACTATATATAAATTGTCACTATATGGGTTACTGCTCGATGTAAAACAAATCTCTGTGTAGATTGACAATTGATTTATTTGGACAGTATTTAGACCTCAAGCAGCCAATACAATGTATTTATTCATTTCAAAAGTGACTTCATTGACTTATCGTTTGGAAAACTTTTGAATTATAAAGAGTTGTTCATAAACAATTCTCATAATCAGTTATTTGAAATAATTTCAATGTTACGAATGAGATCATAATTTATAAATAGGTAGTAGGAAAATAAATTTGAAAAATTCATTTCTTTTAATTCAGTATATAATGAAAAAAGTAAAATAGCAAAAATACCGAACTCCAAGGAAAATTCAATTGACAAAACCAAAAGCCCAAACACATCAAACGAAGTCATATTCCTGACTTGGTACAGGCATTTCCCTATGTATAAAATGGTTAATAAAACTAGGGTTTTATAGCTAGCTAAACCTCTCACTTGTATAACAATCGTATAGAATTCCATAATATTGACGAACAACTACGCCAACAAAGAAAAACGAAACTGATGGTCTCGATATGGTATCCAATTTTGAACTAAAATTATTGTTTTGTTTACAGTGGCAATTCTGAGTCATCTGATGAATATGTAAAAGACAAAACGCCATTGACGTTTGGTGTTATTTCCTATGCACCACAACTAAATGGTCTTTCTGAAAAACTGAAAGAAATAAAAGAACACAAATGTCTCGTAAGTAAGATAGCATTAAAAATGTATCTTAACTATTGTTTCAGCCCCCCCCCCCCCCCCCCCCCCCCTCTTTCGACTTATGATTTTGAATGTCCATTTGTTATCTTTCGTCTTTTACAAAATTGAATGAAAAACACAGACATTTCAAAATAAAAAGATGAACGACAACCGTAACTCAATGGAACATCAATATACCTTTAGAAGTAAAATTTCTATTGTTAATAGAAATAAAAACATGTGGTATGAGTGCCAATGAGACAGCACTCCACCCAAGTCACAATGTGTAAAACGTTAACAATCATAGGTCAAAATGATGCCTTCAACACGGGGCCTTGGCTAACACCGAACAGCAAGCTATAACGGGCCCCAAAATGACTAGTGTAAAACAATTCAAACAGGAAAACCAACGGTCTAATCTATATAAAAAAAAGAAACGAGAAACACTTATGAACCACATCTACAAACGACAACCACTGAACAACAGGTTCCTGACTTAGGACAGGTGCAAACAAATGCAGCGGGTTTAAACGTTTTAACAGGCGCCAACCTTTACCCTAACCTGAAACAATAGTGTTACATTACAACATAGAAAGACACACTATAAAATATCAATTGAAATGGCTTAACTAGATCAAAAAGACATATTAACAAAAACAAGTAAACATACACTGAACGAATAAATTTGATGTCTGACACAATTTAAATACAATATTTATAAAAAAAAGGGGGGGGATGTAAAACAATGTCAAAAAGACAAACGTCAAGGAACTTTAAAAAATAATGCAAACATCAAAATGAAGAATAAATCAAAAGGATACGCATAGAAATATGCAAATTTCACCACTTGAAGTAAACTAAAAATTGATCATGTATTAATAGCAATTTTCACATGACAATACGCTATTACAATATAGGCTGTTAATATTCCCTTGAACTTAAATTTTCCAAGCAGTTGCATTAACTCAGAAACAATCGAACACAAAAACATGATTGTATATAATATGCGTATTTCAAAGATTTATTTCTAATACGTATTGTTTATATACACAAATAGCCGAATTCTTATAGTTTTGAACTTTTACGAATAAAAATTCATGACGACAACATTGCATGAATGGGATAGAAATTGATAGGTTTTCACTAAAAAGAATTTGTGTGAATATATAGTAAATGGAAAGGGTAAGTTCATTTGACTTGACTTTACTTTCATAAACATTTTACGATAATCAAACATTGAGTAAATACATTTTCAGCTGAGTAGTTAAAAAGATATACTAGTGTTCCGTAGTATGTTCAGTCTTTTCTTTTCAACACTGTATTCATTTAGGTTACGTTAATAGATATAACTACACAAACAAAGCCAACCGAATTTTCAGACTTTGTGACAAAAGCAATCATTCGTGGATGGTCTCAAAGGAAACCAGAAGTGAATCGAAGTGAAATGAAAGCCTCTGATTATAATAATGAGTCAAATGATCCAACAAAAGAGAAACATGAAACCACACCAGGTATGCTAGTTAACAAAATGGACGTGTTTGTGTGTGTTTCAGTGCGAAATATATTCTTATCGTCATGTACTGCGTTCGATAAATTCAAAAAGAAAATATCGTGTTAACTAGTAACTTCACCATTATATTTCTCCTATAACGATGATATTTTTTCAGAGAATATGCCTGACCTTCGACAGAGAATATACTTTTTACACGACCTTAACGAATATATATGAATAAAAAAATACTCTAATACTGGAAACGAACGTTTGCTTTTCCCTAGAAAATATGAAAACATGTACTAAGAAACCTCTATACATATATTCTTGAACACATACTCTAAGTTCAGATTTTGTTGCGATGTGTTTTTAATTGCGAAAATTGCGACGAAATAAGTTCCGCAAAAATACAAACTATAATATATATATGTTTATATATAAACAAGTCTAAATTGAAATCAACGTTCAAACCTATGATTGCGTTGGATAAAAACCGCAATTTTTATACGTGTGCATGCAAAACAAATTTCTTGGTAGAGGGGTATAAATACAGCACAAACAACATTTTCCAAAAGACCAAAAAACTGAAAAAGTATATTTAAAAAAAACGCATTTGACTAACAGGTCGAACAACAAATGTACTTAAACCCTGCTGACTGCCATTGGCGATTGCCAAATAAACGGATCACCGATGTAATAAATGGATCTTAATTATCAATTTAATACTAAACAGAAAACAATAAACTTGCGGAAAAGATGGTATACCGCAAACAAAAGGCGCAAATGTTTTTGTACACCATATCCGGATTTCGACAATTAATGTCTCTTCAGTGATGTTAGGAATCGAAACGGTATTTGGAAAGCCATACAATTTACCTCAATTTAGGATAGACTCTTTAATTTTGAGGAGTCAAAATAGGATGAACGGATCATATAAACCCGAAGGCAAATATAATACAAGCCCAAACGAAAAAATATAAACAAGTCTAAATTGAAAACAACGTTCAAACCTATGATTGCGTTGGATAAAAACCGCAATTTTTATACGTGTGCATGCAAAACAAATTTCTTGGTAGAGGGGTCTAAATACAGCACAAACAACATTTTTCAAAAGACCAAAAAACTGAAAAAGTATATTTTAACAAAACGCATTTGACTAACAGGTCGAACAACAAATGTACTTAAACCCTGCTGACTGCCATTGGCGATTGCCAAATAAACAGATCACCGATGTAATAAATGGATCTTAATTATCAATTTAATACTAAACAGAAAACAATAAACTTGCGGAAAAGATGGTATACCGCAAACAAAAGGTGCAAAGGTTTTTGTACACCATATCCGGATTTCGACATGGATAAAAACCGCAATTTTGTTAAAATATACTTTTTCAGTTTTTTTGGTCTTTTGGAAAATGTTGTTTGTGCTGTATTTAGACCCCTCTACCAAGAAATTTTTTTTGCATGCACACGTATAAAATTGCGGTTTTTATCCAACGCAATCATAGGTTTGAACGTTGTTTTCAATTGAGACTTGTTTATATTTTTTCGTTTGGGCTTGTATTATATTTGCCTTCGGGTTTATATGATCCGTTCATCCTATTTTGACTCCTCAAAATTAAAGGGTCTATCCTAAATTGAGGTAAATTGTATGGCTTTCCAAATACCGTTTCGATTCCTATCATCACTGAAGATACATTAATTGTCAAAATCCGGATATGGTGTACAAAAAAATTTGCACCTTTTGTTTGCGGTATACCATCTTTTCCCGCAAGTTTATTGTTTTCTGTTTAGTATTAAATTGATAATTAAGATCCATTTATTACATCGGTGATCCGTTTATTTGGCAATCGCCAATGGCAGTCAGCAGGGTTTGAGTACATTTGTTGTTCGACCTGTTAGTCAAATGCGTTTTGTTAAAATATACTTTTTCAGTTTTTTGGTCTTTTGGAAAATGTTGTTTGTACTGTATTTAGACCCCTCTACCAAGAAATTTGTTTTGCATGCACACGTATAAAAATTGCGGTTTTTATCCAACGCAGTCATAGGTTTGAACGTTGTTTTTAATTTAGACTTGTTAATATTTTTTCGTTTGGGCTTGTTTTATATTTGCCTTCGGGTTTATATGATCTGTTCATCCTATTTTGACTCCTCAAAATTAAAGAGTCTATCCTAAATTGAGGTAAATTGTATGGCTTTCCAAATACCGTTTCGATTCCTATCATCACTGAAGATACATTAATTGTCGAAATCCGGATATGGTGTACAAAAACATTTGCACCTTTTGTTTGCGGTATACCATCTTTTCCCGCAAGTTTATTGTTTTCTGTTTAGTATTAAATTGATAATTAAGATCCATTTATTACATCGGTGATCCGTTTATTTGGCAATCGCCAATGGCAGTCAGCAGGGTTTGAGTACATTTGTTGTTCGACCTGTTAGTCAAATGCGTTTTGTTAAAATATACTTTTTCAGTTTTTTGGTCTTTTGGAAAATGTTGTTTGTACTGTATTTAGACCCCTCTACCAAGAAATTTGTTTTGCATGCACACGTATAAAAATTGCGGTTTTTATCCAACGCAGTCATAGGTTTGAACGTTGTTTTCAATTTAGACTTGTTTATATTTTTTCGTTTGGGCTTGTTTTATATTTGCCTTCGGGTTTATATGATCTGTTCATCCTATTTTGACTCCTCAAAATTAAAGAGTCTATCCTAAATTGAGGTAAATTGTATGGCTTTCCAAATACCGTTTCGATTCCTAACATCACTGAAGACACATTAATTGTCGAAATCCGGATATGGTGTACAAAAACATTTGCACCTTTTGTTTGCGGTATACCATCTTTTCCGCAAGTTTATTGTTTTCTGTTTAGTATTAAATTGATAATTAAGATCCATTTATTACATCGGTGATCCGTTTATTTGGCAATCGCCAATGGCAGTCAGCAGGGTTTAAGTACATTTGTTGTTCGACCTGTTAGTCAAATGCGTTTTGTTAAAATATGTTTATATATATATATATATATATATATATATATATATATACAAGTCTAAATTGAAAACAACGTTCAAACCTATAAAACGTCTGAATAATAGTCAATGATCTTTCCAACGAGGGCGCTGTATCGTTACGAGTAACGATACATGTACACAATAAATAAATTATATAAACGCCCCAAAAGTGTACAAAACAACACCAATAACAAAAAAAGAACACCATAAATGTAATTATTTATAAATATTTCGGATAAATTGTTATAGTTTAATCAAAGTAGATTGATATGATTCATTTGACATCCATGATCATAATCATACTGATGAAGGATATCTGTTATCCGAAATAATAGTCAACGATCTTTCCAACGAGGGCGCAGGATCGTTACGAGTAACGATACATGTACACCATAAATAAATTATATAAACGCCCCAAAAGTGTACAAAACAACACCAATAACAAAAAAAGAAAACTATAAATGTAATTATTTATAAATATTTCGGATAAATTGTTATAGTTTAATCAAAGTAGATTGATATGATTCATTTGACATCCATGATCATAATCATACTGATGAAGGATATTTGTTATCCGAAATATTTATAAATAATTACATTTATAGTTTTCTTTTTTTTTTGTTATTGGTGTTGTTTCTTGTAAACAGTATACGAAGGCAAGATATTGCACAATGCTATAAAGTAATATTTTCATGTATAACGTCACAGTACCCAAATTGCATCCATTTAGCAAAAATAGCAGTGGAAATCTTACAAGTTTTCCTAGAGACTAAACAATTTGTTATTTTATGATTTGACATTATGTACGTCTTTCAATATAGCTAAATATATTCAAATATACACAAAACGTTCACAGTATATATCAACAGATGAAGTATTTACTGGAAAAAGTAAAATATTTTCAATATGGATTCAAAATTAAATTGGTGGAACTATGTAGTAAATAAGGATACATCTACAAAATAATTGTCTCGATCATAAATAAACGTAGGTGAAAAAACTGTCAAAATAGGTGCAATTTGGGTACCCTTACGTTATGTTTCGATAATTATGGAAACTTTAACGGCCCTTTTTCAGTTATCTATTTAAAAACCACTACACAAATGAACAGTAATATATATTTCTTTTTTAATTTTTTTTTTCTTTCGTTCTTAGATCTACTGTTTACGGTCTATCATATAAGATTATGCCATTTTATGATGGAACTAAGACATGTAAGAATAGATTTTCAAGGAGTGATTTTTTAGTTAAGACGTGTGAAGGAAATGACGGATGACTACAATAAAAGTGTTTATTTTCATGTAATACATTGCATTTCAATTTAAGAACGATTGTCAATCTTGCCAAAATATCTCATCTATACCAGTTTTGAGCGAGCCACTCAAACCTACATTACTAGATTCTACATATATTACATTTAGGCCTTTTTAATACGATTTTATTCATTGAAGTTAACAGGCACAATTTTGAATTAAGACAATAGTTATTAATCAATTGGACTGGACAGAGAACATTTATTACTTTTTGCATTTACTTGTCACGTAGTGCAGGCAAAGTACATAATCAAAACCAAACTGAACATTTATCTGAATATTCTCAAGGACCCGTTGCATCTAGGTGTGCTTGATTAGAAGTTGTGTTACAATCTGTTTAAATGTTTAATTGTTGGAGGAGATTTACTTAACTGTTTTCGTATGGTATGGTCTTTATAAGATTTCAAGGTCGTCAATAACATGCATGAAATATTTGCCACTAAACGTTCAGCAAATATCAATGAAAAAAAGGCATGCATGAAACGGAAATTACCGAAAATAGCTATTGGATATATTGCATTTACGACAGCTTTATATGATATTGAAATGTCATTCATTTGTTTAGTACGATTCACCAATTAGAATGAAAAAAATAATGATTTGATAAAAGTAAATCATTTCGGAATCGCTGTGATATATATGAGACTGCAATCCAACAATAAAAGCTAAACAGTGTGTATTGTCTTAATGTCTTACCTATTGATTTGTGATGCACCTTAGTCTGGACCACACAAATTATTTGCATTGAAAATCATAACAGTATTGTAAACGTTTGTAAAATACCAACAAAACTGACAAAACCATCTTAGATGACAAAACGTATCCAAGTTTTATCCTATGAGAGAAAAAAATAATCCTATAGGACAAAGTTTATCCTAAGGGAGAACAAAGTATCCTACAGGACAAAATTTATCCTAAATCCTAAGGGAGAAAATAAAATCCGGTAGTAGAAAAATTATCCTATGGGAGAAAAAACATCCCCCAGGACAAAATAAATCCCTTAGGAGAAAAAATAATCCTAAGGGACATTTGTTTCTGAGAAAAAGTCGTTCATGATAATCCTATAGGATAACAAAAATCCCATCGGATTTAACACTTTTTTTGAAAATCCGATAGGATTTAAATATCCCATAGGATATTAAAAATATCCTACGGGATTATGACTTTATCCTATAGGATTTCTCAAAATCCTTCGGGAGAAAATAATATCCTACAGGATTTTGTCAATGTTTTCACTCCAGTTGCCGAACCAGGCGAGTCACACCAAATTTTTTTTTGTATTGTGTTACCAATCCCCAGGGGTACATTATTGCCAAATTTGATGATTCTACCGTTAAAAAAGTGTGGTTCCAATTTGCACTCATGAGAATTGCAAATTAATCCAAGAACATGTTAAGCTATAAAACCAGGTTTAATCCACCATTTTCTACATAAGGAAATGCCTGTACCAAGTCAGGAATATGACAGTTGTTTTTCATTTGTTTAATACGTTTGAGGTTTGAATTTTGCCATTTGATAAAGGACTTAATCCATACCGCATAGTCAGCTATAAAAGGCCTCACAATAACAAATGTCAAACAACAAACAATTCAAATAAGAAAACTAACGGCATGATTTATGTACAAAACAATGAACGGAAAACAATATGATATACAGCGACAAACGACAACCATTTAACTACAGGCTCCTGACTTGGGACATGCACATACAGAATGTGGCGGGGTTAAACTTGCTTGTTGGCGCCAAACTCTCGCCTTAATCTGGGACTGTTGTGTAACAGTACAAAAAAAAAGAACAAACTAGAAAAAAAATTGTTGAAAAGTTCTTAACTCATCAGATCGCTACAAAGAAGAACTACATCTAACATAGACACAGACCGGACGTGGCAGGGTATTTATACATCCCCACAACAAAAAAGACACTTAGTACTGATCTGAGATCACTCGCAGATACTGACAAATAGTTCAAACTCAATAACATCTAATTAAAAAATCATGCATCTAAGACAAAAGTATCAATCAGTACACAACCAACATCCGATGGATCTAGTGTAAAGACGTCATTAACAGTCAGAAAAAAACATGAGCTTGTGCAATGCCAAGATAAAGGTATTGACAGATAGTAGGGCCAAGAATTTGCATATATTTATGTATATACAAAAAACATTTAGTCTGATTTAAATTTACTGATAACAAAATCAATATTTATACCAATTAAAACAATATTCAAAGATTTCATTACAGTATTGAATTGGTAACCTTTTATAATAAGTTTATTAAAAGATCGATAAGTTTACCCGAATCATATCTTAACTTCTTGGCTCGGTAAACAACATCTCCGTAAAAGTTAGGATGTGCTGCTGCCACATACTATTGTCAAAATTGCTCAAGGCCTACAAAGTTAGCTTAAATTTTTTCACTCTTTTCCCCTTATTTTACTTTTGTTGACGTTAAAATATTTCGATCGTTTACTGTTTTTGAGGAAATGACAGAGTTGAGGCTGGTCATATATTTAACTCTTAAAAATATAACTTCAAACATGCTTGTTGATAGAATTTTCCAAAAACCATCAATTTTGATATAATATACGAATGTATATCGTTGTATTGCAATATTCCAAATGCATACTCCTAACGACTACTAATAAAGCCATAGTGCATCAGACTTATTCTATCAAACATACGTATAAAAACATATTTTTAAACATGTTGAAAGACTATCAGATCATACGTTTCATTTCATTCTGTTAAAAATGTTCATTCAAAAAAAAGTAATGTCATTTAAACTTCTAATTCGTGCTTGGTTTATAGACCCTAGAGAACTTTATTCCGGAACAAATTCAGAAAAGTGTCCAAGTGTGATCCAACCAAATAGTAACAAGGTCCATCCAATGACAGTTACAATGAATGCTGTTTGTGAAGTTAACTACGATTTCCATACGAAAAAAGGAGCATTTATGGAGACCTACAAGGAAACGTTGACTCCTGCCTCATTACCATTGTATTATTACATTGCGTATCAGTTTATACAAGAAATGAACGACCCAAACAATGGAACGGAAAATACCAAAGTACAGGTTAGCATGAATACCTATATATAAAATATCTGGTCCGACAAATATTGAAGAAATGGTGGTAACCTATCACTCTTAAATTACATAACTTCGAAATCATAACAAATATTCATGAGAAAACATTCTTTCGGACTATAAACGTTGGTTCCTTCACTGTTAATAAATATAAGTGTTTTCCACTATTAATTGTGTATGCTCCGCTTTAAATATGATATTAGTTTTACACGAATATAAAGCAAATGCGGCGGCATTGGCAAACCAAGGGATAGAAGGGATGAAACAAAGAATCGGTTGGCAAATCTATGTACATGCTACTACTTCTCCATATTGATATTTATAGTATATTTTAAACTAAAGACGACCGCGATATGGCTAAATATTATTTAGAATTATTTAAAATTTACAGAATTTCGTTGTTTTTCAGACATTTACAGAAACTATATATGGCTTAACCTAATGCTTATTTCATTTTACACACAATGTAATAAAAACAAAATTGTATGTACTTGACAAAACACCTAGGCAGCCAAACATATGCACACGGGCAAAACTAGCTACAAAGGTTTTTACGTCCAAGGGCACCGGTTAACTCCCATGTGTATTTGTTTTACTTAAAGTATTCATTTATAGATAATCCAAATATTTACTGTTTAACAAATGTACAAACAATTAGTAACCATTTCGGCAAATGAGTGCATTTAGCAAGAAGCACTTTGAAACTAAGTAATTGAATAGTACTGCATAAACTGCTGTGAATACGTTGAAAAATTCTGTGAACCTGACTTACTAATCTATTGTAAATTTTTTGGAAGATCTAAATGGTTAATGCAGTTCAAATGTATTAATGTTATATCGCTAAATATTAAGCGTTGTTTTATGAGCCTGGTATCTTTAATGAGTTTTAAGTTGATATTTGATGTATGAGGGCATATATCTTTATAAAATATTGCATGAGGTTATTTTCAAAAGGTTTTTCTCAAAGAAAAAAAAATAAAACTATTTTAAGCCATTGTCATGTTCATTTATGTAATTTTGACAACTTGTTCTATTCCAACATGTATGTCCCTTGTACAATGTTGCAATTCTGTTAAGGACGTTTAAGTGTTGAAAAGTGGTTATATTTGGCTTCACTAGATTTATGTTTAAACATTTTTGTAAAATAAGATTCTTTTTTTTTAGCTCGAACGTTTCCTGATGAAGATACATCCTAAAAAGATCTGTTGACGCATGACATTAAAAAATACCATTTTCATTTTAAAGAACAGATTTTTGCTCTACACTTGGTATTAAAGATAATATAATACATGTGTACCACTAGGTAGATATCGCTGCCGTAGAACCAACTGACCCCTGAGTGCTATATTTTAGTAGCAAGTGCTGCGGTAGTCGATACTGTCATGATGTAGTCGATGTATTTTTATAATACATTTTCTTCAACATGAAATTACTCAGAAACGTGATGTTTTATAGGTGTATATTTAAAGTTATATTTTTATTTCTATAGAATTTCAATATACTTTTGAAAGAAGCTATTGTGGCTAATAGAGATGAGTATGTGTCGGTATTACTGGAGGAAGATGGTGTTCGATTCGAGGAGAATCACTTCCCAGATATATACGAGGTAGTTTATTTAAGTATCTTTATGGTTGCTCAATTGTCTTTTTTTCTGTTTCTTTTTTTATAGTAAAGTTAGTTTAAAACATGCTGACGGTATGTGTGAGTAAATAATAAATGTTAAAAATTACTTCGTCAAAAACAGATATTTTTTTGTTTTTTAATATGTTTATTGTATGCGTTTTAAATTTTGTGCCACACTTAATGCTATATCAAATATGTAGATACTCCTACTTCTAAGGTCCTGGAGTATATAGTTAAACCCTCGTTTATTCTTTTAATGTATAATAGAATTATAAATACAAGTATATTTAGAGGACATGTCAACAAGACGGTACCACAAAGACACAAAACGAAAATCCCATATTAGTGGTCAAGATACATTTTACTTTCTTCAAAAGAATAAAGTGTTTGCAAGTTGTGAAGCTCTTAATCGCGCTGACTTCAGACAAGACATGAACTAATTTAACAGAAAACAATAAAAAGACAGAAAATGCAATAAAAAGAATCTACCGACGTCGTACCTTACATGTACATCAATAAGCCTTTTAAACAACATACCTTCCCTTTTATCAATTTTAATCAGGTTAGAAGTGCATCAAAAACGTAAAATAAAATCAAATGGGAAACTTTATATAACCGATTTTAGGATCAAAACATATCAATATGTTAAACTTTATTAAATAAAATCAAATTCTTCTAGCTATTGTAAACTAGTTCAATGTGCATACTGAATTATACCTTCTTCCTACACTTTAATATTTCCTTATAGTTATCGTAGTACATTGCATCCAATAGCATAAGAGAGTGTTAGAGGACATGATCTTGTGAAATATCAGAAAAAGATAAAAACAAATGAAAAAGTTCAATTTCGAAAAAAGTCAAAGATATATTTAAGGCCGTATTGACACCAAACGTCGTGTACTGTAAGTATTAGATACAGAACAAAGCTAACAAAATACAGGCTGGTAACAACCGTTGCAAGCCAAGGACCTTGACCTGACTACTCGTGCAGAAAAACTTTACGGCTGGTTGTTACCATCCCGTTTATTTTGTTACATGTGTTTTGTATCTGACTTGTACGACGTTTTTAATTAGAAAATGATACATTTTGCATTTAAGGCGATTGTATAATTAAAAAGATTGAACACAAAAAAAAGTAATTGAATGTCCTCTTTCGTAGCCACTTTATATTAAATAACAAAATAAATTGCCAATAGTTTTGCCCCCACCCCCTACCTTTGCCAGTGTATAATCGTGTATGATCCTCTTTCCCGGCTCCTAAACCTGTGCATTTATACATACCCCTCCACACCAAGAAAAACAAAAATCTTAACAAAACAAAAATAAACAACAAAAATATGATTAAAAGATTTTAGGTATTCAAAAATTCAACGACGTATGTAAACGAAATAAGAAAGAATTATCAGACAAACGAAAAAACAACATGTATAAATTTTGTGAAAAATAATAAAATAAAGAACAAAATATATATATATAAAAAAGCTGTTTCTTTTTTTTAATGGGAAATAACATGTAATTAAAATTAGTTGATTTTGCCTCGTTTTAAATTTTTTATCTTCTTACTTTTGAAATCATTTTTTTTCTACTTTAATTTCATGCTCATTACAATAATGTGATATTCAAGTAGACCCAAGTATTGATCACAAGACAATATTGTTTTCAATTTCCATTCCTATATTCAAAATGGGTGGTAGTTTTTTTTTGACGTTGAGACTGATTTTTTTCTATCACAATTTGACTTAAAGGGGCATTAGCTGTCACATTCATGTTCACCGATTTGACTCAAATTCTCATATTTGATTTATAACATACTTAAACGTGTACCCAAATTTCAATAAGTCTGAAATAAACAGTTAACAGTGCATGTACTCAATAATATATATATCAGCATTTCGTGTGTATTTAAGTTTAGACGCCATCTAATTTATTATCGAGATGACCTCCGAAGACTGACGACGGTCACATAATCCGATATAAACATAAACATAAATTTAAATAGATGGCGACCTCGTGTAGTTGGACTTTTCTAGGTCTTTTTGATTTCATGTTAAAGGTTAAAAAAATAAGTTTATAATCGTTTTTACCTGTATAAGAATGATATTTTTGTGGATCGAATCAGTCAACGAAATGGTTCACCTTTGTTTAACTTTCAATATTAATTTTTCTTTTTAATGGATTTTTAAAACGACTTATATATGCGTAACCAATCTCTAGCTAATGGGTTAAATTGAAGGTCACATGAATACGGATTCAATGAGGTCGAATTATTCACTTGTAAGTGAATAATTCCTCAGCGATGTTTCTTTGCTTCTTGTAACAAAATTAAACCAAATTGGCTGCTAAAAGCGAATTAGTATTTCATTATTTAGTGAATTTTATTAATGATTGAACCAAACAAAATCATATTCTATTTTTTCATATCTCGTAGCTAATTTCCCTTTTTACAAATTGCTTGAACGTGAAAAGAAAAGGGGAAATCCTTCGTATAGTTCGATTTAAACGATTTGAAAGATTCCAACCCTGAGAGGTTTGTACATGGAAACATTTGATTGTTGCAGTTACTCCTGCAGTCAGTAACTTCGTAATTTCGTGGATTTCAGAAAAATTATATTTATAAAACAAGGTAATTAGGTCATAAGGTGTGTACATATGCACTCACTGAATGCACGAGTGATCCTTTTCAAAAACAGTGTCTGAATAACACACGTTATTGTAGTTTTTTTTTTCTATAGTTCTACTGGGGGCAAAGTCGTCAAAACCTGTTTGCAATTAGTTTCATGTAATGAACACTGATTTCAAATTAAATTCGTTCTAATCTGTACATCGGTTTTAATTACCTATACATGACAATTGTTCACTCCAGTAAACAACCTGTACACGTAAAGTACATATATATATATAATTTAATTAAATTTTGTTAAACTTTTACTCAAATTTTGTGCAGTTCAAGCTACAAAAATATTTTTTTGTCATGCATCCGATTTCACCTTGAGAGATGCACACGCCTGATGAAGCTAATTTGTTTAGCGAAATATTGCGTGAATAATATAAAATATAACAACTAATTTTATAACACTCATTAGTGTGTTAAAGTTTCATTCTTAGGCACTTATATAATTTAATGTAGTAACTGCATCAGTTTATTTACAAACTGATCCACGCCTAGATAGATTGAATGTTGATTGTTGCTATTTTTAGACACTATATATATATTTTTGGAAAATGTTGTTTGTGCTGTATTTAGACCCCTCTAACAAGAAATTTGTTTTGCATGCACACGTATAAAAATTGCGGTTTTTATCCAACGCAATCATAGGTTTGAACGTTGTTTTCAATTTAGACTTGTTTAGATTTTTTCGTTTGGGCTTGTATTATATTTGCCTTCGGGTTCATATGATCCGTTCATCCTATTTTGACTCCTCAAAATTCAAGAGTCTATCCTAAATTGAGGTAAATTATGTGGCCTTCCAATAACCGTTTCGATTCCTAACATCACTGAAGAGACATTAATTGTCGAAATCCGGATATGGTGTACAAAAAATCTTTGCACTTTTGTTTGCGGTATACCATCTTTGTCGCAAGTTTATTGTTTTCTGTTTGGTATTAAATTTATAGTTAAGAAGATCCATTTATTACACCTTGTGATCCGTTTATTTGGCAATCGCCAATGGCAGTCAGCAGGATTTAAGAACATTTGTTGTTCGACCTGTTAGTCAAATGCGTTTTGTTAAAATATACTTTTTCACTCTTTTGGTCTTTTGGAAAATGTTGTTTGTGCTGTATTTAGACCCCTCTAACAAGAAATTTGTTTTGCATGCACACGTATAAAAATGCGGTTTTTATCCAACGCAATCATAGGTTTGAACGTTGTTTTCAATTTAGACTTGTATATATATATATATATATATACATTAAGTAGAATTGAATTAAAAATTTCACTGTAAACTTTTGTTGAGCGCAGACCAATTTTTAAATTTTTCTTAAGTTTTCAAATATTTTTATATAAGGATGGGGGGGGGGGGGGGGACATATTTTAAAATACAATGTTTTTAAGAAAACATATATTTGGTATGAAGTGAGAAAAGTGGTTTGATTCCATTGAAACTGAAGGGCGGGGGGGTTTCAACAAAGAGTTCCTGTATGCTACTAAAAAAAACTTGTTGTTTTCTTATTAATGTAAAACAAAATCTTTATCCCGCGATGATGAAACCGACCATTGAATATAGAAAACTTTATAAGTTCTAAAACTGTCACAATAACGCAAGCTCAAGCATCGTAACAATAGGCGAAAAAAGAGATTTTGAAATTTAAAAACAAATTTCATGCATTTTCAGGCGAGAACAAATTCACAATAAATACATTAGGTAGATCCTGTAATAGAGGCCGTCCGAGATGAAGATTGGGCCAATTTGAAGTGTCATTGGAAAATGACAGTTTATTGGATAGGGACATAAAGTTTGCCTTGCAACAGGCCACATACGAGCCCCTTAAAGAGTTGTTGCAAAGTTCTTAACGTGCAGAGAGCGCGGCGCGCTCTCTACATGAGACATCGGATTTAATGTCCCCATTCTGACCGGACGTTGCTGGGTACTTGTACATCTCGCACAGCCAAACGGACGGCCCCGAACAGCCAAACGGACGGCCCCGCACAGCCAAACGGACGGCCCACTTTTGCGAGGGTTTTACTGCCGATCGGCAGAAGACTAAAGTGACCATGGGGTAATTTTGGAAATGAATAGTCTGGACTGGAACTATTTGTAAACAATAATCTGTCCAAAACATAATGAAAATACGTATTCTGTCCTACAAAATGCAGAACTTTACAAGAAATAGTTATGTGCAAAAAGTAAAAATATTTTTTGCACTAAATAAATAAATCGTACTAAAAAACGGTTTAAAATCAATATTTTTTCAGCAAACAATCCATCCTCGCTATGACAATCAAATGGTCCACAAGGCTATTAATTCATGTTTTTTTTAGAGCGATTTCTGAATTTTTCTCATATAAATAGGTAAATAATTTAATTCATAATATTATTATTATAATTTTTATTCAATATATGTTACTTTCTAAAATATTCATAATAAAATCCACGTACATAATATCTAGTTTAATGTACACTTAACCAACACAAGGTCTACATTGACTATCGACTGCATGTAGTCAAAACCTATGTTAAACTACATGCACAAATTGAGTTTTTTTCAATGGGAACGTGGCCTAAGTTAAAATTTTAACTATCAATTAGAAAACCGACTTTAAAAAAATATCAGAATCAAGAAATTAACATAACAAATTTGTGATAATAACCTCTATCAATAATATATTTTTCGTTTGCTTTTCTTCTAAATGTTGTTATGCAGTAATGAACAGCCAATTATTCTCTTGTTTGTTTATGTACGTTATGGTTCGAATTATATGAAATGCTCGTTTTTAGTGGTTTGGAAGGCTTTTTAAAAATTTCACAGAATAACTTCTTCTACGTTATTGCATAAATGTAGACAACAGTAGTTTACACATCTTCAAATCTAATATATCAATTTTTCTCATAAATCCATAAGAAGATACAAATTAATGTAACACACAAAAACTGAAAAATAGCAAGAAATAAAAATATGGGTGCGTCGACAGGGAAAGCGTATATTCAATCAAAATGTCACAATCAGGAAAAAAACCATAATCGATAAAACATTGAGACTATCATGTTTCAATAAATATCAAAAAGGTTGAATGTGAATACATAAATACAAGATTCCAATTGTATAAGTGTATATAAGGTTAATAACCTATAATACTCTTAATCTCGGATTTCAAAATCTTTAGTTCCGGCATATGTATGTATGTGTTGTATGGAGGATTGCTAAATTTCAAATTGACAGTTAGAATTTACCCCTATTTGAGTTTTTTATTTTTTGTTAAGCTATTGGTTTGTCCTATTCTTTTAATTACACATTTTGGTTTAACTGACTGTTTATATAAAATCTAGATGTCTAAATAGTGATTATTAAGACCATTAGTTCTTTGTCTCTGTTTCTATGTCTATCTTCTTGGAGCAGTCGAATGTTGGTAACTGGTGTGATCTGTTGTACTACAATATAGTTTTGTTGGTATCATTCGCCTCTCTTTTGCAATCAATAACATTTATCCTTTTTTATATAAAAATAAGAAGATCTGGTATAATTCTAATGAGACAAATCTCTCCCAGAGATCAAATGACATATGTATGAATTCAATAACAATTAAAAAGGAAAATAGAGGGTAAATACTTACTTTCACATTTCATGGATTTTTAGTGTGTGTAAATTTTAGGGGCGGTATACAATGATGCTGCACTTAGATCCGTACAAGAAATTTCTACGTAATATCTTAATATTACTTTATTGATACAAAACATGTATTTTTTTAGGAAACAGTCTTATCAAGAAATAGGGAAGATACAGATTTTCAACATATTTTAAAGGTATTACAAATATCATTTAAATAGTAAATCATATTAGTTTTCTTTATTTGAAAATAAGACGAGACCACAGATGCCGTTTTTTAAGAATTGTTCAACTTTATTAAGATTCTAGGCTACACAGCTTTATGATGAAAGGAGAAGGTCCGCCGGTAAGGGCTAATTTCGGCCTAAATTTTGAAGTACATTTGATTTTTGACATTTTTTTTTAAAAAGTGTCTACTTTAGCTGATTCAATTGGTTTATGTTAAAGATTTGAACTGATTTGATCATTAAAGACGCTCAAATTCAAGCTAAAATATGAAAAATCTATCTAATATGCCATAAAACGTCACTTTTCAGGTGGTTTTTATTTAAAAAAAAGAAATGGCCGCATTCGTGTTTAGTCTCAATATTTATGTATTATTATCAAAACAACATATATTTAATTATTAAGACTGAATACAAGTGCGGCCACTTCCATTTTAGACAAAAACCGTCTTAAAATTAGCATAATTGATAAAATTGTGAAGATTTCAGTATTTTGCATAAAATAATGATGCTAGTACCTAATGCATTTCAATTATATTGTCAAAACAGCCCATATTTATGTAACAAAAGTATTCTACTTTCCAATAAATAGCTTACAGTTTACATTTTCAACAACTTTGTAAAAACGTTAAATTTAGGGCCAAAAAGAGGTCTTACCGGGCCTACTCCTTTGTTATCTTTTTTACATCTAAACGGGTTGACATTTTTACACAGTAATGAGTACTGCTGTTACAAACAATAGTCCCTATCATATTTTTTTACCATCGCATAGTCAAGTTAAATACGAAGTTGATTAGCATTAACCGAAAATTCTGAAAAAAATGTGCCAAATACGGCTAAGGCAATATATGCCGGGGGTAGAAAATCTTAGTGTGTCGAATATTTCAAAATTTTATTAACAGTAAAATAAAATTTATAGAAAATGAACATATCATTCAAATTTCATGTAAACACAAACGTGCTTAATACTGGCCTGATGATACATTCGAGGACTAAACGTCAATCAGCAGTTGAATAATGTTTGGCTTCCGAAGACTTATAAGTGGTACTAAAACAAAACAATTGGAAGACAAATAAAAAAACGAATTATAACTCGAAAACTATTCCAGTCTTAACACAAAAACTGACTTCAACTTTAAACATATTGTTGTCTGCTCTATGGTCGGGTTGTTGTCTCTTTGACACATTCCCCATTTCCATTCTCAATTTTATGACATGTTACAAATCACTGGGATATTTGAGATACAAGCACATTACTAGATGGGGTTAATACCGAAGGGAATAAGGACGGGTTTTTGATTTTCTAAAATACCTTCTTTCGTGAATGATGTCGGGGTAAATGTGGATTCCCGGGTTTGCTGCGAATTTCAAGTTGTTTAGCTAGACACTCCAAATGAGCATTTGTGCATATAAAAATATATTTAGTGTATGTCTGCTAAAACAACACCATATTTGTCAAGAAGAGATGATATGTATCATCCATACACCTGGGGTTCTTGAATGAGGCAGACCATCAGCTCGTGGTACATCGTTGTTTTCAAATGCGCCTCTGAATGCATGACCGAGCAGTTCTGATCCATTCCCATAAAGTGTTTAGTTAATACTCATCTGGCTGTCCTGGCAAAGTCCTCAACTGTATTCATCAGTAACCTGTTTTTTTTTATCTTCAATTAATTGACCGGATAATTCAATATGTCATGCATATGGCTAACAACTCCCGAGATTGTTCATCGTTCACGATTCAAAGATCTGTAACATGACCATCGGGATTTTATTTGCATGCGGACGATGAACAAGAACAGTCGAGAGGTTTGGATCTACAACCCTGAGGGTAAATGTTTCAAACACTGGTCAAAAATCTCTTGAAATTGGTTCAGTATATAAATATGTATATCAAAAGACAGGTGAACTGTTATCTTTGAAGTAATCGGGTATAGTTTATATGTTTGCCTTCATAACATGTTCTCATCGCAATTAACTAGGTGATTAAAAATACATCAATGAGATGTACTCACCTACGTCACAATTTACCTGTGTACATACAGTAACTTCAGTTTTAATTTTTGCGTTCAAGTGAACGCATGTTTCTCGTCGACAAGGATTTTTAACAGTCCTGTTGAAAATCCTTATATTTTATACAAATATTATTTGATTTTTGGAATTATCGTTTACACAACGCTTTTGATATGAGCGTTTCGTCAACATTACGAGCGAGTCTGTAACAACGACGACCTAGAAATTAACCTTTGTTTAGCCGCCATTTTCAAACACTTAGACTCATACGAGGAAAAGCAGAACATTTATCTCAAAACCGGACATGTTACATGAGTACTCCGTTTAAAGAAGAAACGGATTTTAAAATTCTTCTTCCATGCTGACCGAATTTTTAACTGTTTAGAGCAATCTATGAAAAGGGTCAAATGGAAAGTTCGGAAAGAGTTGATTGTTTACACGAGTTAACACAACACTATTTTACAATCAGAATAGGTATTTTGACCAGATCTGATTATTTTAATGTGGACAAAGTTCCATACAGGGAGCGTAGACCAAAATTGTTACTACTAGTAAAAGTAGTTAGATAATTACAATCAGATTAGGGAATTTGCCCAGAACTGATTATGTTTTTTTTACTTGGTTAACCTTCCATTTAGGGAGCATAGACCATTATTGAAAATAGAAAGTGGTTGATGCAACACAAATAAAATTAATTAAAATCAGTATAGGGATTTTTGCCCGGGTCTATCTGATTAATATTGACATCGTTTCATCCCGGGAACGTAAGTCTATCATTATTGTAACTAGAACAACATGCATGATTTGGGGTATACAAGTTGCATGCATTCTACAATACAGATTTTGAACTTAAAAATCATAGTTATTATTTTATTGCACATTGATATTTAGGGAGCACAGACCATTATTGGAAATAGAAACTTGAGTGGTTGACGTAACACAAAATAAAATTAATTAGAATCAGAAAAGGGAATTTTGTCCAGGTCTATCTGATTGTTGTTGACATTGTTCCATCTAGGGAACGTAGGTCTACCTTTATTGTATCTAGAAAAACATCCAAGCAAGTTGCATGCTTTCTACAACACACATTTTGATCTTAGCCAATTTTTGTTGCACATTGATTTTTGTGAGTTCTGTCAATTATATACTCATATTGATAGTGTGTCTGGAAATGGTCAAGACAGATAAAAACACTGAAACAGTACAGATTTTTTTAGTACTTACAAATGTGTATGTAGTTTAAACATGTCAATACACACAATTTATTATTATGTCCAGATGTTTTAAGAGGACAGTAAATTCTTAGAGACCTGAAATATTTTCTCTGAGCAGGAAATTGCTGTAGATTTTTCTTTGCATATAAATTATTCTCTTAAGAACACAGTTCTAAAACCTATTGATAACTTGTGACACCTCGTATTATGTTATCATTTTTTTTTTTTATTTTCAAGGTCAGTTTATTACTGACAAGGAGAACATTGATATTATCAGCATGTACTGCTATGACCATTTTGTTGTTCGTCTGCATTAATGAAACAAAGACTTTTATATGTTTTTAAGTAAACATTAGTTTGTCTCTTGGGTTAAGAAGAGTTTAAGGGATGCCATTATGGTGCATTTCACAAAGACTCGATTCACGAAATGGCTTTGAATTTTGATTACATTAATCAGAGTGTACATTGCCAATGTATATGACATATGATATGTACTGCTATTTTGTGTTAAGTACACTAAATGGTGGTAACATAAGACTAGGATATTTTTTACACTCGCTGGTATGAGAATCACTGACAAATAATACATTTATCTTCCAAATCTGAAAGGAAGAGATTTTTGGAAGCACTTAAAAAGATAGTAAAATAGGCTTTGCGTCTTTAGCTTTCAAAGCGATGACAACATGTTTGGTAAGATTAGCTGTCTGCTTTAAAGAGCCAAAACTGCTATAACAGATTCATTGGAACTGTTTTCAATGTTAATGTGAGATGGTCGTTGAAACAGCTTATCAAGCTGCTACAAGTTTTTCCTTGAGTTTTTATTGAATCAGAAATTTGAACTATAGATGACTCAAAGGTTCTGATATATAAAAACAAGATTAGTATTTATGTTTTAAGAATTTAGAATAACGGCATATCATATAGATTTTGCACGAATTAAATATAATTAATAAAATATTAGAAAATGAATACAGAAAAAGCATTGATGATGCAAGATTCATTTAAAATGATAGTCATGGACGATGAGATTGAAGTCGTTTACAAGATGTAGCAACGAACTATCCAATACATCTCTTTATAATCTTCATTTTTGCCAGTCTTAACAAGACGCAGAACAAAAAAAAGACGAGATCTTTTTTTTTTGGTTACATTGTACCAATAAAAATATATATATATATTTCAATTTGTGCTCAAATTTTAGCATCTGTAGAAGCAGTGTGTCTAAGAGCAAAATACACAAGAAAAACAGTTTATTTTAAATGACTGATTAATAGTTAGCAAATGACATTCAATAGTCTGTTAGTGCATGGAAGTAAAATGCCATATAATTATTCCATGGTTAGTGCAAGACATTTGTAAATATCTAAATCGAAAAATGTCACTGTTAATTTTTATATTTGTTCATTATTAACAAAGAGTACAAAAATCCTAGTCTTGTCAAAGTCCAGTTGTTTGAATTTTGAATTCAATATTGTTTTACAAGAAGTGATTATATACATCCCATTTACTTTGTATTTTCAAATCTTATGTCAATTTGGACAAAGGCAAAAATATTCTGAGTGATTTTTAGTTTAACCAAATGACAATGTTGAAGTCACAAAAATACTACCAAAGTGTTTTGGTGGGTATGTAGGGAACAGTATCAGAATGCATAGAATTCAGATAAGATGAACTGAGAGAGAAATGAAATGAGTATTTCTAATTGTGAAACCATTTCTGAAACAATTAAAACACTTATCAAAAGCA